TGGTTGAAGTAAAAGACTGATAAAATTGATTAAAGCAAATGTAAAGGAAAAAAAATAACATTTGGAATGACAAAAAAAACCATAAGTACAGACAGATGTTTAAAAATATTTTTAAAATATATTTTAAAATAACATAATTTAAAAATCATGTATGAAATATTAAACACATATTATATAATGTAATGAAATGAAAAATTCATCCTTATAATGTGAAAATTGCATAAACAATTTCTGAAAAGAATATATGTAATTTAATAAACTGACATACAAATAAAGTCATAGAGACAAAACTGTGGAGACAAAACTATGTCAGAAATTTAAGCAAAATGTTAAAATACAACTTGTCTATATATTAACATATTATAGATGTAAGAACTTTAAAATAATTCTGCTTATGATTTAAATACAGGTATTTTCAACTCCTAAAATTAGAAAAGTAAGAGTAATTGCTCAACTAATTTAAGAGTCTACTAAAAGGAAAGAGAATCACACAGTGTTATCAACTGGATGCACCCAAGAAAGATAAGAATAACTTAATATTAGACAATATATACTAATGTAATTTCTCACAATGAAAGACATGAGAGTCAATAGATACAGAAAACACAAGATTTGTTAATGATGAAATTATCAAAGAAAGAATAGAAGGATATTCACTTAAACTATAACACACATCATGTATCATGGTAAAACATTAGAAGGCTTCTGCTTTAAAAATGAAGACCCAGACAGCTACTTTACTATCATTGCTTCTAATCTACAATATCCTAGAGGGCCTACTTTCAAAGGAACAGGGAGAAAAAAAGACAATGTGGTGAAGAAAGAAGAAATCAGTCTCAATTTCCAGAGACGGTATGATTGCAGAGGAAACCTGAGAAAATACACAAATAATTGAGATCTCTAAGATTATGAAGCAAGTATTCTGGATATAAATTTGATATTAAAAAATAAATTAAAAATTTAATGTCAAAAATTATGATCTGAAGTGGGGAAGTACAGAAACTTGCCACAGTCTGGCCAGGCACAAAATAACCGAGCCACCACACACCTTGTAGATTCAAACAGCAACTCTTTATTCCCGAACTCTCACCGACACTCTACACGCATGTTCTGGGAAAAAATACACTCCCTCCACCGGGCTCCTCGTACCAGTTCTCTCAGAACCCCAAGAGAATTCCAAGGAGCAGGTGCCTGAGGCAGCAGGATATGCCCTATTCCCAGCAGGATCCACCCTAAACCTGGAGCCACCCTAATCCCTGAGCAGGGTCACCTTTCAACCAAAAATGCCATGCGTCATTCTTACTTGGCTATGGTTCTCAGCAGAAACTGAAGTGTAATAACACATTTCAGAAAAGGTTTTCAACCTTTATATAGAAAAGGTGCCATAGAAAGATAAAATGAAGATTTGACCCAATATTGTTAAAAAAAATGTTCCCAAATTAATGCATTAAATACAAATTTAATTTTTAAAAATCTTTTATTTTTTTAGTTGTAGATGAACAGAATACCTTTATTTTGTTTACTTATTTATTTTTATGTGGTGCTGAGGATTGAACCCAGTGCCTCACACATGTGTGGCAAGCACTCTACTGCTGAGTCACAACCCAGCTCCCAAATTTAATTTTAAAAACAGAATTTATCGGGGAATTTGAAAAGTGTATCCTACAGTTGTAAAAGACAATATTAGCCAATAAAAGTTTGAGGAATACAAAATGAGAGGATTTGCTATGAGTCTTCCAGAATTACCATAAAACTATATGATCAAACATTGATATTGATGTGGAAAGAGAGTTTTGGAACAAAATAGGTTCCCTAAAAATAGAGCCCTAATACTTGTGATAAGAATATAGTAATTGCAGCTTATTATATTCTAGAAATAGCGCTGTAAAAAAGAAGTGGACAAAGAAACAATTTAACAAATAGGATAACTGGTTATACATTAATTATATCCCTACCTCACTTAATTTCTAAAAGTCAACTCCAAGTGGATTTAAGATCTAAATGTGAAAAATATTTGAAAAGAAGAAGAAAATAAAGGAAAAGTTCTTCAAACACTCAGGTAAGATACCAAAGCATAAGCCATTATGGGGGATAAATGACTGATCACATCTAAATAAAAAATGTTTATGTATTAAATGATACTAAAAATATAGTGAAAAATACAATATTTAGCTTCTAATATTTATCGGAAAACTTTTAAACCTTAACTTCTTATATATTTTTTAAAAATTATCAAATCAGTAATACAAATCAGCTAACAAATTATATAACTTCCTTTAAATTCTACCCAAAAGTATTTATTGAGAATGTTCTGTGCCCAAGGCTTCATGACATAGATGACAGTGCACTAAAAAAAAATCTTACTGACACTGCCTTACTGCCTTTTGTGGTTGCAGTTAACACCCTCAGGAATATGCACAAAAGTTCTGAAGTTTTAAGTTCCTTTTAAAAGAATTCAGCAACAGAGTTTCGATTTCAGATCCCTCAATTTTTGGAGTTCGGTTTGTGACTCAAGAATATTATGAGATGCTGCTTGCTTTTATTTGATTGAAGTGTTATTTAATGAGGCAATGAATGCTACATGCTCACAAAACCCATAACAGAAGAGCTCTATGAAGAGATTCAAAACACCTTACTGTGATTAGCCATTATTCTCTCTTCCTCTCTTTTTGGTGGGTGTGTAGGAGAGGGGTGGCTCATTCTCTTCCTTAATAATATTCTTTTTTTAAATTTATTTTTTATTAGTTGCACATGACAATACAATGATTATTCTTAATTGAGAGTTAACATGAAGTAAGATCCCAGCTTGAGTAATATTGGTTATTCTGAGAAGACCTGTTTATTCCCATCCATGTTTATACATTCATGCCTAGCTTAAAAGGTCAAAGGAGCATGAATAGGGACAAACATAAACATGCTTATATATGTCTGTAGTCACTTACCATACCTATATAGCCTTCAAAGAAAACCAGTGGGCTCTGTTCCTGCTCTCTTTACACCATAAACTTCCCACTATAATCTTGTTTCCCCCTAAAGACCTGGCTCTAATTTGTCTTTTCTTTATCTCAAAATTCCTAGGCTGTCAGACCAAGTTACTCTTAAAAGGACTCTGGGAATTACAGTCAAGAAAAAGATATATTAAAGCATCGTTATTCAAACTTAAAAATTTAATAAAAATGTTAACAAGGCTTCCCTAAGGTGGGGGTGTTTATTACTTACCTTTTTTTTTTTTTTAACAGCACAATTACATTTCTACAGAGAGATGTCAGGTATAACATATAGCACTTGCTATTTAAAGAACACGTAAGAGAAAGACAGTACTGTCCCCCCAATCATTATATATACAACTTTCCTTCCTGTGTAATTTTAAACTCTTAATTTTTCACCAGTTTCAAAGGAAAGTTCAATCATGAATGATGGCAGTGGCTTTTTCTTTAATTTGTGACATCTAATCTTTACTTTAGGCTTCGCCAGTCACATCTCACTATGTCTCATTGCATGTGTCCTGACACAATACATCATGGCCAAGGTGATCCAATATCGTGTGACATTTTTTTTTTTAAAGGATATTAAATGGTGGCAGAAGATACACCTGAAACACGTCAATGTGGGCCCAAGGGGCATTGTTCTTCACTAACGGTTTGTGCTCTAGGAGTCTGGCTAGAAGAATTATTACTGTCCTTTATATATAAACATCCTTATCCAAATAGTCTCCTCTTATGTCTAATATATGCATTCCTGTCATATGAAAGCTACTTGCTTAAGCTGCTTTTCTGTCTATTTGTAGTCTGTTCAGACACACAGTCCTCAGCAGGAGTCCAGCTCCATGATTCATTGCCTCAGATTTCCTATGGAGCTTACATGATGCTCGCTCAGCCCCATACGGTTTTGTATCCATTATAACCAGGGACAAGTAAGCAGGGCTCAGGAGTCTGAGCATCTATCTAAGAATAGCTCCCTGACGCCTTGCTTTACTCACAATAAATGAACAATGAACTCTTTACATGCTAACCTCGTATGGGGAGGAGAAATTATAGGAGCTGGCTTGAGTTAAATAAGGGAAGAGGCATTTAGAGTGAAGCTCCTTAAATGAGCAGGTCAATAACTAGTTTACAGAGACCAGGGCACCTGGCTAATGGGAGAAGAAAGAATTATGCTTGTCACAGAAAAAGAAAGATGCTGTCCTGGTTTAGTGCTAAATAATTACATTCATTATACTGAGAATAGCTCTGCAAGTGGTCGGTTGCACTAGTTAATTCATTAGCAAAACTAATCTGGCAAACCCCAAACAACAATTGGGGGTAAATTTAACCAATTCTAAAAGAAGGTTTGGCAAACAGGATTTTCTTTATGCCACACAAGGAAAATGACAGTGGAAACCTGCATGTGTAATTGCCTATATCTTCTTCCTGTGTCCACGGTTTCAACATAAAAGAAGGAAATCATAGCTGAGGCAGAGAGAGGGCATAATGTACAAATTAATGACCTTGCTGAACTATTGCAGAAAATCTGAAATGTGCCAGAGTTTCAATGTTAATTATAACAATGAACAAAAAACAGACTCTAACACCAAGGGATTTTTTACTACTGTCACTTTATTTGATCGGCAAATACAAGAGTATATAATTAAATATAATAATGTATTTCTGATTATTATATAATAACCATACTATAATTATTGAGTGCTATAGCATATCTTATAAGCATCTAAACAAGAAAACTATGGAGCAGTTTTACTTATTGATCAAATCACTTGAGGACTGAATGTCAACTGTAGATGATGTAAGACTCTGTAGTCATTGGAATTTAGAATGGTTTTCATTTGTACTTTTCTGTAATTTGCTCATTTGTATATTATAAACATAGACAAAATTCTACGAGAGGAACAGTAACTTGCTTAAGTTAGGAGATGGGAGTGGTTTGATTATTGTGCTGCACAAACATGATTCTTTCTAAAATGTATGTTTTTGTTTTGTTTTGTTTTTTCCTGTATATTTCTAGGAAAGGAACTTTTTTTTTTCCTCAGAGAGGAAGAGAAAACTTGAACACACAATTCTAGGGAAGAAGGTAAGATTGAAAGATACAATGAAAATTGTCCAATGAACCTTGTGGCTTTATCCTGTCACTGCAGAGCAGCACTATTGGGCTAAAATTTAAAAAAATAATAATAACTAATCTATTGAATTTAGGACAAATCACCAAAATGTAATCCATTAAGATACTGTTGTCATTAAAAATTCTTAAATAAATAGCAAATTTGCCAGTCATGTTCTTAATCCATGAGGAGTTTATAGTCTGGCAGAACAAACATAAATAAGTCAATTATTAATTGAGAGTGATCCAAAAATGGGTCATAAAACACGAACAGACACTTTACCGAAGATGTACAGGTGGCAAATAAATATATGAAAAAGATTCTCTGTATGATAGGGATACAGTCAATGTTTTTAACAGCACAATTCACAAAAGCCATGTTATGGAACCAGCCCAGCTGCCTGACAATAAATGAATGGATAAAGAAAATGGGGATTCTATACACAACAGAATTTTACTCAGCTCTATAGAAGAATGAAATTACAGCATTTTTCAGTAAATGAATGTAACTCGGAACGTCATGTTAAGTGAAATAAGCCCAACTCAGAAAGTTAAGAATCCACTCTTTTCTCTCATATGTAGAAGTTCGAGCAAAATAAGGGAAGACGGGGGTCAGAGATCATAAAGATATAGGGAAGACCAGTGGAACAGAAGGAGATTGAGAGGGAGAGTGAGGGAGGAGGAAAAGGAAATGGGAGAAAATATAAAATAAATTTGATAAAATTGTACCATGTATAGATAGATAAATAGATATAGATATATCAGGAATTTCACTTTTATATATATATCTCCAAAGAATGGATCAAAAATAAATAAACAAAGGAAAGAAAGAGCAGTAGAGTAGAGGAAAGAGAACCGGGAGGAAGCAAGAGGGGGAAGGGGGAATATTGGGGACAGAAATGGAGTAAATTAAATCCATGCATGTATGACTTTGTCAAAATTAACCCAATTATTATGTAAAACTATAATGCATTATTAAAGTAAAAACAACCCCCCCTCAAAAACATTCTCTGCATCATGTCATCAGGAAAATGAAAATTAAAAGAGCAATAGGATACCACTATACACCCAGTAGGACACTGACAGCATCAAATGTTGGTAAAGATAAGGAACGCATGCATTTTTATGTTTGCTAGTAGGAATACTAATGATACAGCTACTTTGGAAGATAACTTGGCAGTTTCTAGCCAAATGAAACATACTCTTACCATACTGTACAGCAGCCTGACTCCTTAGCATTTATCCAAAGAGACTGAAAACTTACATCTTACCAAACAAAATCTGCACACAGATGTTTATAGCAGATTATTCATAATTGCCAAAACTGGGAGTTAACCAAGATATCTTTCAGTAGGTAAAGGGTTAAGCTGCAGCACATCTAAACAATGAAATGTTGAAAAGAAATGAGCTCTCAAGTGGGGAAAAGACATAAATGCATATTGCTAAGTGAAGAAAGCCAAGAGATCCCTACATTCCAGAAAAAGTTTACAGAGACAGTGAAAGATCAGTGGTTGCCAGGAATTTGGAGAGGTGAGGGAGTATGAATGATTGGAGCATAGAGGATTTTTAGGAACGTGAAAATACTCTATGATACTCTAACAATAGATATATGTCATTGTGCATTTGTTCAAACTCACAGAATGCAGAGCACTGAAACCAAACACTGTGGGTTTTGGGTGATGATGTGTCAATGTAAATTCTTTAGTTAGAACAATTGTACCATTCAGATGAGGGATGTTGATGGTGAGGCAAGTTCACTGGTAGGGACATGTGAAGTTAGGGGTATGTGGGAAATCTGTATCTTCTATTCAATTTCTCTGTGAACCTAAAACTGCTCTACTAATGTCTACCTAATTCTATCTAGAAATAAAGAAGAGAAAAAAATCAGGATGTAAAGTGCTTTCTCAAATGATATTATTAGTGAGAACAAGTTTATTTATTTTTTAATATTTATTTTTAGTTATAACAATTAGTGAATAAGTTTATAGAAAGGCATTTATATCCACTATTATTATTATGAAGCATTTAGTTTAAATGGATCATATGTATATGTATACATATGTATATGTATAAATATATACATATGTATATATTTGACTGTTCTATCCAACAACCTCAAAGTCAATTTAGTGCAAATAATTAGGTAAGCTTGCTTTGGATTGGATACATATGTTTTCCCTTCTTCTTAATAACTAATTTAATACCTCAAATTACTAAGGAATCTATTTGATCTATTTGGTTAGGAATTATGTCATGTATTCTCTATGGATATTCAAAATAAAGTAATTTTGTGTAAAGGCCCTAAACTTTATTAAGGTTTACAGCTTTTACCTTTGTCATTGTAAAAGGTTTTTTTTTTTTTTTTCAATTAAATTTTGCAATATGTTTGGCTTGGGGTTTCTTAAACCTAATAGAACAGTTACATGTATAACCAATTATCATTTTGAATATTGCACTGAGAATTCTGCTAAGTATTGAAAGTAGGCAATATTATGGTTATTGCATCTTCAAAAAGTTACTCTCTTTGAATGGAACTTCTTATAATAACAAGAGAAAAACGGAGAGGGGCGCATGGGAATGCACAGCTAGAAGAACTTAAATTTCCTTCTAATTGTGGTCTCCTTGGAGCAATTATTCTCACCTAGTTACCCCCCAACTACAGATTAGATCCCATTATCACTTCCTTTTGCACAGTAGTCAGTCTTTCAAGAGAACAGAAATGCACTAAGAACATTTTTCTCTGCTTTCAGGTAACTTTTTTCATATGTGTGTTAAGGAAGTAAGTTAGAGTAGCAGACTGCATAATTATCTCAAATACCCACTCTCTATCCCTATTAGAGGATGTGATGTCACTTGCTCATGCACACAGTTTGGCCAAGATAACAGTTTTGGCCTAGGGAATGCTCAAGGACATGACCTGTGCCTCCAGCTGAAGTGTAAACACTCTAGGATCTGAGTTTTCTTCTATTTTTCTCTGTGCAGTGAGGCCATTTTTGTTAGGTGGGTATCAGAATGAAAAGGCCCTGGATCAGAGATACCGCCATTTCTTGAAAGACATGTTTTGTGCGTAGGGAAAGTTTTTGTTGTATGGCACTGAAATGTTTCTCTGTTAATTTATCAATTATAGTTTGAAAGCTTACTGTGTTTCAGGCACTGTTCCAAACCCTGGAACTACATCTATGTGCAAAGCAAAAATCTTTCCCTCCTGTAACTTATATTCTATTGGAGTGATACAGACAATAAAATAATTACAAGATACAGTGTGTTAGAAAGAAAAAAAAATATGGTGGAGAAAAAAGTTAATCAGAAAAGGATAATGGGTAGGGCATAATATTGTTTTCATTTTCAATAAAGTGGTCAGAATAGGTAAAGGTGACTTTTTTATTCTTTATTGCACTATGTAACTTAAAAAAAAAATTTGTAGTGAATAATGTGGAAAAAAAATCCTGTCATTTAGGGTTGCTTGTTATCACAACATGACTTAACAAAGGCTTACTGGTACATTTAGAATTATAACACAGTTCCTAAAACATTCATTTACATATTTTTGATAAGAGGAATTTTCATATATAAATGTTGACTGTGATCTTAAAATATATGAATTACTTAAGAGCACATCCTTAAATAATAGGACTGGTTGACAGAAAGTTGTTTGGGAATGAGCCACCTGGGATATTATAGTGAGAATGAATGAGACAGCTATGCACAGGAAGCTTAACAGTGAGAAGCCTCATGCAACCTTGCATCTTACTCTTGCAAATTGTTCTCAAAGGACAAAGAAAATGCATAAGGATGACCAACATCATCTAAGGTCACATTCTTGAGTTTATGTTCTGAAGAAAGTAGAAAGCAGGAGGCACATTCTCCCAGAACTTGGTGATACTTCTCCAAACCATGTCCCACTCTAAGAATAGATAATACTAAATCACACAGACTTCTGTTGTATATATGAAAAATCTTAGAGCAAGTGACAGAAGGTGACTGCGGGGCACTATTGAGCAGAGAAGCTCAAAGTTTGGAAGAATATGATTACTGGAGAATAAATTTATACTATAAATATATCTTCTACAAACAATATGCAGAAAGAAAAACAGACTAGTAGCAAATAAGACAAAGGGCTAATAGTGTAGAAATAATAATTCAATGCAATTCCAATAGTTCAAGAGGTAAATGGAAGAAATATAATTAACTAGAAATTTTAGGGGAAAAATCAGATCTAAATAATAGCCCAAGGAATGTACATCAAGACTAAAACAGTGTTTTTGCCTCTCACATAAACATAGTAAAGTTCGTACTTATTTCTCATTCAGAGGTGCACATCTGTAATCCCAGTAGCTTTAGAGGTTGACTCAAGAGGATCACAAGTTTAAGGCCAGCCTCAGCAACATATGAGGCACTAAGCAACTTAGCAAAGTCCTGTCTATAAATAAAATATTTTAAAGAAAAGGGGCTGAAGATGTAGCTCAGTGTTTAAGCTCCCTGGGTTCAATCCCCAGTACCAAATAACAACACCACAAAATAATCTGTGGCTCAATGAACATGTTATAATACTTTTGGAAAATGGTTAACAACAAATAACAAAATTTCCAAATATGACCAGTAGTTACATTTATAAGAATATTTGCAAGAAGATGATAAAAAGTTTAACCATGAACTATTAATTATATGTTATTGAATAGTTTTTGTTCTGCAATAATGAAGCACTGGAAATGAAATATATGGTTCAGAAGAATGGTTAATAAATACTTGAACAGAAACTTTTATGACGCTTTACCATAATCATCTTCTATATATAAAGATAGAACATTGATAAGTAAGAGAGTACTCATTCTTTTTTCTGCTTCTAGAGTAATAGAAGTTAAGCTGACCATGTGTTTGTCCAGCCACATTTTTCTACCTCTTAACATAAACTGTTAAGTTCTGTTCAGTAGAGTGTGTGAGGAAGCAGCTTAAGACCTTAATGTCAGCTGCCA